TTTAATAAGGAAAAAAAATATATAAATCACAATTTAAAAATTGAAAAAAACATGGATATATGTAAAATCATTTTCCTTGTTTTTGGGGCTGATCTTATCTTTTGATATCTTGATTGGGTGCCAAGATTTGTTGGCCATGCATGGACGTGAAATAGTTAAACAAAATGATGATGAGAGACACAACTCGAACACGTAACTATATCTGGATTCTAGTAAATTTATCAAAATGAAAAAAGGTTAAGATAATTTTTAATCGTTTATATGAATTTTAATCTTAGTTTTTCAAATTTTAAATCTTGAGTTTTAGTTTTTTAAGTGATAAAATGATCTGATTTTTTATTAAATCATAAGAACTAATATTTGAAATAAGAAAAACTTGAGGACTTTATTTTAAAGTTAAAAGATCAAAGTAAAAATAAAAATAAATTTAAAGAACAAAAATTGTATTAAAAAAACAAGGAAAATTGAAAGGAACATGTAGGCAGAAACTATTTGTAAAGCCGTTCAAGTCGTACGATGTGGTGTAACATACAAAATAATATATACTTAAAAGGAATTGTAAAAAAAAATTATTAAATTAAATTAAATTAAATAATATTTTATTATTATTATTAAATAAAAAAAAGTTCAAGAAACAGCTTTCGCTAGAAAGCTGAATCATTTGCCTTGAGGAGGAATTTTGGGGAAAGCATTAAATGAGGAACGAAGAAAATGGAAGGAGAAGTAGTTGGGAGTTGGGAGTTGGGAGTTGGGAGTTGGGAGTGGCAGAATAAAAGAGTGGGGAGACGGAAGAGAATGAGAGACGGAAGAGAGAGAGAGAGCGGAAGAAGAGAAGGAGAAAGTGAGAAGAGCTGCAGTACGTGACTTGAAGGTTAGAAAAAGTTTTGAAGATGATTCAGGTACATAAAATTATTTTTTTTATCAAATTTTTTTATAAATATTTTCTATATATTTATAGCTTTATATTATTAGTTTCATTATAATATTTAGAGAAAACTTTATGGTTTGAGTATGAAATAAATAGTAAGTTTTAATAATATATAATTGTAGAAATTTATTTAAAGATACATTATTAAAGAATTTTAATCGGTTTATATTGTTTAATGATTGTTTTGAGAATCTTAAATTAAAATTTTAGTTGAAAAATTTGTTATTCAGTGACATATAGAATGTTTTTACCGATTAAATTTAAGTTAAATAATTTATTTGGGCTATGTAGTATACTATTGAGATTTTAATCAGTTTGAATATTAAATAAGTTAAGGATCTATTTTTTAAATAATTTCTGAAAGTTTAAAGAATTGTAAATTGAGAATTTTATAAAAAGAAAAAAATTATTTATACTTCAAAAGAGTTGTTTAGCTGAGAAAATTTTTTTAATGAGAATATAATAAATAATTAAGATTTTAGTATGAAATATTTAGATTTTGAGTAATAAGTATATATTTATTTAAGTTGTTAAATTTAAATATTTTTATATAAAAATTTTATTGTCAAAATAATATTGTATCTATTATAAATAGCAAAATTTAGGAGAGTTAAAATATTTTTGTAATTTTAATTTAGAAGGTAGTCTTAAATTTTAGAGTAATTTTAAGAATAGTTTTGAGTTTTATATTAATAAATATTTATGTAATTTTTTAAACTCTTGAGAATTTTGAAATAATCATTATGTAAATATTTGCAAGTTAAAGAGTACTAGGTAACTTTGAAAATTCTTTTATGTACGTGTGAATGATGTATGATTGTATTATATATGTTGCTTGATTTTGTTAGGATTTATTGCTATTAATTATGATCAATATTTAAATATATTGATATCTATAGAATTATCATGAGTTGCTGTTAAATAGTACAGAAATATTATTGCTATCTTATTTTTAATAATATACTTAAGAACATATTTATGATATAACATTATCTGTATCTGACATATGTATTGTTGGGCTAAGAATAAAAAGGGAGTTGTATGGATATAAATTACCACGTGGTATACCATCACTCAGTACATAGTGGATGGCACTTGTCAGAGCCTCTTCTTCCATGTTTTCCTTTGGCCGAGAATTCATTAGAGTTGTGAGACATGTGACATCTCCTTATTTTATTCGCAAAGGAGAGAAGCCATAGTCTAAACTTGATCTCTTTATCTTTAGCCGGACATATCTCCAGTATCAGTGAGCTTAGAATAATTCAGTAAAATGGATTAGTTCCTAGAGGACTATGTGTTAGCTTATGGCTCTAGTAAGCGGTGTAAAGGTGGACTGTGATATAAGGAAGGCTGCATATTGCATTATTTTTTAATATATTAGAAAAATGATGTTGGTATATTGTTGAATCAAAAATGAAATTGAGTTGAATGTATAAATCTGTGATTTTCATACATAAATATATACACACACATATAAACAAATTTGTTTATCATATACAGTTTGCTTGTATAAGTTAGAATTTCAGTAGTTATTGAGACGTTTGATCTCATCCCTTATATTAACATTTTTCGGTAAAAGACCTAGTAGAAATTAAGGGAAGACACCGATAGAGTAAGCCGTGAAGGCTTATGTACTCTTCGAGCACCTACTATGTTATATTTTTAATTACCATGGCTATGACTTTAATGGTTTATTTTGTTGTGTTTGAAAAATATTTTGAAATAATGACCTGTATAGTGTATTAGAAATATGGATGGATTTTTAAATATATTTTATCACGTATATGGATATAATTACGTGAGGTGTTACACGAAACAGTGATGCAACGCAGCAACACCACCGACACACGAGTTTCTCAGGAGTTGGAATGACAATCTCTGAAACCCAGAGACAAATACACGTTAGCGAGACATTTGGTGATTGCTGAATCTGAAGAGCTTGCTTAATTTCAAGAGAAAACAAGTCTGCAAGTTCTGAAGCTGCCATTTTTGAGGCCTTGGTTTGTGAGAGCTCTTTCTTACGTTTCCCTCCACATCCATCCAGGTTCGTTTCTTCTCTTTTACTTCGTTTATCCCATGGATCCATCACTCCATCTACTGTTTTGCAAGCTTTTTTCCTGGAATTTTCATAGAAAAATTCTGCATTAGATTTGCTGTTTTCTTCTCCTTGTGCCAGCTGTTGATTATATTCAATGTCCTCCATAGCTACCTTACGGTCATAGATCTAATAAAACTTCAACATTTTGGAATTTTTTTAATACTTCTGAGAAACAAAATCCCAAAAACTTCTAAGATATGGGTGGACTTGATCTATTGACCAAAGTCTTAGTTTATTTTATTCTCTTTTTTTTAATGAAGGAAACGGTTGATTTATTTTTCATACTACTTCTACTTCTTAATATAAGATTAAGATTAAAAAAATTACTAAATTATTTAAATTTATCATTTATCTTCTAATTAATTTGTTTTACTAAGTAATTTTCTCAGATTTGTCAGTTAGTTTTTATAATTAAGTATTATAAAAGCAAAGCGCTTGTTCTTTCTTTTATCTTAGTGCTTGTTTGGATCAGCGATTGAGGCTCTAAAAACTACTAAATTTTTTGATAAACTCGTTTTAAAAGTTGGAGGGTGTTTGGCAAAGCTTATAAGTCATCTGACTTGGATCCAAAAAGCTGGATTGAAACGGACTTTTACATAAGCTTATATTTGTAGCTTATGGGAGTAAAATCAGGCTTACCGTTGGAATTGAATATGTAAGTGGGCTCCATCGGAAGGCATGCGGTCTCATGAGTGGTTGACTGTTCTTCAGAATTAGGCCCACCATCCAATTCTGACCTGTCCTCTTCATTCGTTCCCCTCTATCAACTAATTGTTATTTGAGTACCATTGGGGTAACCGTTGTTCTTTTTCTTCTTTTTTTTTTAATTTTATTTTTTGAATTAATTAAAAATTTAGAATTAAGCAGTAAATTGAAATATAAATTGTTTAAATATAATAATCCAAAGAGTTCAGGTTATGAAAAATAGTAGTAAGAATTTACTCTTCTTCGATATGAATAAAATTTTTTCATTTTTATATTTTATTTGTTGAAAATTAATATACTTTAAATTATGAAAAATGTATGATATTCGTATTCTATAATACGTACAATTCTTATAAGTTGGTTTGTAAATTTTATTTAACAAAAGTGTATTTTTAAAAAATTGCCTTTTTGAGGTATCTCACATATAAAAATTTCTCTTGGTAAAAAAAAAATCTATTTTAAAAAACATTACTTGGTTGATGCGAAATATCCAACACCAAATAGATGTCTAGGTCCAATACCAAATTAATTTTAATTCATTATATCATGTAAAATCATTTTTTAATCACTTTCATTACTTATTAAAACTCATACCTATTTTGGTAATTTTATAAACAAACTTACTTTCACTCAATCATAATCTAAATAACTTTTTACCAATCTCATTTTTGCAAATTAATTTTTTTGAACTCCAATCTAAACATAATTCAGCTTATCTAGTTTAGCTTTTACCCAACTTTACTTTTTTTATAAGCCAAATTGATAATAAGCTACTTTTTCAATCACTAATCCAAATGGACCCTTAGTCACTCCCCATTTCGTTGTTATGCGTAAATAAGGCATCAATCTAAACCAACAGGGCTTATTCTCTTTTTTTCATAATCCACTTGCTTTTAGCACTATTTTCCCTAGTATCTGTGTTAATACTAGAAAACTTCATAATACTGAATTATTAATTATTCATTATTCATTAAATTTGTTTGAAGAATTTGATTGAAGAGGAGGATGTCTGCAAATTAAGCTCGAAACTGACATGTTTTAGACCTTGTGAGCAAATTAAGCTGACATCCGCCAGGTTAATACTATCCATGAATTCTTTTCTTTTTCTCTTCCACTTGCTTCATCCCATTAAAATGTACTGTTTTGCAAGCATTTCCTGAAAATTTTCAGGGTTTTCTTCTCACAGGACACATGTTCTGCAAAAAAATTTAATTTCTTCTTTCCTCTAGGGTTGATAATCTTGTCCCTGGCTACGTTGCTTGCTGAAGGATGAAGCTAGAAACGGCTATCACAACCATTGCTCCAGTGTTCCAAAAAGTTTTATTGATCGTATTGGGAGTATTAATTTCCAAAGCTATCAAACTCATCTCTCATTGGCGTAATGGTAACCAACCTGCTGCTATTGATGCTAGGTAGCTAGCTTCTTCTAAATAACCTCACACTATTTTCTTGTTTGATTTGCTCCTACATATAACGCAATATCTGTTCACTGTTTGTTTCTTTCTATAGTTCTGAAGATGATGTTGTTTTGACTCATACGGATTCTCCTCCAGCTACCAAGTATGATGTGTTTCTTAGCTTTAGAGGAGAAGACACTCGCCACAATTTTGGAAGTTATCTTTACAAAGGACTTCAAAATGCAAGCATTCATACTTTTATGGATCACAAACTCTGCAAAGGAGAATTGATCTCACCAGTTCTTCTAAAAACAATAGAGGAATCAAAAATATCTGTGATTGTTTTCTCTGAGAATTATGCTTCTTCAACTTGGTGTTTGGATGAGCTTGTTCACATATTAGAATGCAAGCGTAAATTTGGAAGGGTTGTGATACCTGTTTTCTATAACGTAGATCCTTCAAGCATACGCAAACAAAATGGGAATTTTGGAAAAGGATTTGATATACTGAAGCAAAGATTTAAAGACAACCAACAAAAATTGCAAAAGTGGAGAAATGCTATAATCCAATCTACAAGTCTATCTGGATGGGATTCCAATGTTATCAGGTAGCTTCTTAAATTCTCCATTTGTTGTTGGTTTTGGGGATTTATTCAATGAATCTCTAGGATTCAAACAAATTATTGTGGTTTTTTTTATTCTTTTCATTTTCTTTCTATTAAATGTTCCTTTTCTTTTGATTGACATTTATGCTAGACCTGAATTCAAACTTGTTGAAGAGATTGTCAAGGACATTTTGAGCAAATTGAATCGCAAGTCATCCATTTATGTGGAAGGATTAGTTGGAATCGATCATCAAATTCGGAGAGTTGAAGAGCTAATAAGTGAAGCTCGCATTGTGGGAATATGGGGTATGGGTGGTATAGGCAAGACCACTCTCGCTAGAGCCGTATTTGACAAGTTGAAAGCACACTTTGAAGCTTTCTGCTTCATTAAAAATGTCAGACAAAAGCTAGCAGAAAGAAATGGATTGGATGAATTGCAAGAAAAATGCCTTAAAGAATTGTTAAAAGATGATGATATTAACGCTTACGATTTAAGATCTGATTTTGTGAGAAAAAGGCTTCAGTGTAAGAAAATTCTTCTAATACTTGATGATGTGGACAATTCTATAGCAATTGAAGATTTAAAGAAAGCATGCGATTGGTTTGGGGAAGGAAGTAGAGTTATTATCACATCAAGAGATAGGCATGTGCTTGAGGATGATTCTGTCTCTGCAAGTGCAACATATCATGTTCTGAAATTGGATCCCCATCATGCCCTTCATCTCTTTAGTTTGAATGCTTTCAACCAAAATGAGCCATTGAAATGCTATTTGGAGTTATCGAAGTGGGTAGTGGATTATTGTCAAGGAAATCCATTAGCTCTAAAAGTACTGGGTCGCTTTCTTCATGGCAGAGGCAAAGAAGAGTGGGAAAGTGCTTTGGCGAAACTAAATCAAACTCCTCACAATGACATTTTTAATGTGCTAAAATTGAGTTTTGATGGACTTGATGACATACAGAAGAATGCATTTCTTGATCTTGCATTTTTGTTGAACGCAGGATGGAGGATTTCTCAGGACTATGCAAGACACTTATATGGTTCTATTGCAAATATTGAGATAAATATACTTGAAGAGAGATCCCTCATCTCAGTGGATGATGGTATTGAGATGCATGCTCTACTAATCGATATGGGTCTTGAAATTTCTAAACAACAATTAAAATCTAATCCTGACAATCCCATTCGGCTGTGGAGGCATGAGGATATTTATCGTTATTTTTCCAACAATGACAAGGTAATAATTTATGCTTTTAGATTTTATTATATTATTTGTTCCCTTAATGGTTCATTTCGTTGTCATTTATTTTTCTAAAAGTTATTTGTTTATTCATCAAAATTTTCAGTTAATCTCAATGTTTGCCAAATCAGACTCTTTTTTCCCCAATAAAAGAAGTCCTTTGTTTGACTAAAATTGGCTGCGGTCATGGTCTTTCCTAAAGTTTTGAGATAGAATATGACTAGCATGATATAAGGTGCTTTTTTTAAAAAAATTTAGATAATGAGATCTTCAATAAATTATAAAATTATCCACAAAGGTTGACCTTTTTTCATATTAATTGATATCTGATGTAGTATAAAAGTGAATGTGTGTATTCTCACACACTACACATGCATATTCTCACCCTCACGCGTTTTCTTATAAAAATTTAATATTGCAAAAAAGTACTTATCATGAAATCTGAACAGAAAAATAAATTTTTAGAAATTTTATAGATGCCGGGGTTTTTATATACACTAGTTTTTCTTTAATACGAAGGGTTAATATAACTTTGGTCCCTTAAATTTACATGACTTTTGTTTTTAATCTCTTTAGTTTCATACCATGAGTTGAACAAAATGGTTTAGGTTTTTATTAAATTATAAGAATCAATATCTTTTTTGGTAAAGAATAATCAATATTTTATATGAAAATAAACTTGAGAAACCAAAATCTATAGTTTAAAACTTGAGAGATCAAAAATTAGATTAACCTTTCTATGAAATGAAATGTAAGTATGCCCGTATCATTGTCCCCCCCCATCCTGCATGTGTATCTGTTTTGTCCGATTTATTTTGCAAGATGAAATGAATTGTTTGAATAAAGTGCACAAAAGCATATTCATTTAGAAATTCCTTAAAAAAATATTTAATTGTTCTATTTATTATTTGATTACCTTTTACATATTACTGATTTTTTCCCACAATTTGATCAGTAGGCGGCTGAGCAATTCAATGCTCATCATTAGACATGAAGAAGATAAACAGGATTGCAATAACAATTAGTAATGTTTAAAAGAATTATAATTTAAAATTAGCTAGGACTTTCGTGATGTCTTATTTTAAAAGACAAAATTAGTGTACAAAGAATTTTCATTAAGTGCTACATGCATACGCATGTGTGAGCATAACTTACTGTTATTTGAAGTACAACGGGAAAATAAAAAACAAATAATTTTTTGCTTTTATGATTATATTCTAAATATCTGCACATGCATACAGGTATATGCATCAGTGTGTCTGCTTATTTATGATTGTTGAGAAATTCATATATTACGGGAAAAACATGAATTGTAAGGAATTTTGAATAAAATGGATATAACGGTGTTAATTTGGATAAAAGTTGATATATTTAATTGTTTTATGGTATTTATGGTCTTTTGTTAGGTAATGATAATTGTGTTTCCCTCAATTTAATATTATTACCAGGGGATTGAGGCAATTCGATGCATGTCATTGGATGCAAGCCAAATAGAAAGCATGACATTGAGGGCTAGTCATTTTCAAAGGATGCGTTATTTAATGTTCCTTAATGTTTACAAGTCTGATCAGAGAAATCCTTCAAAGTTGAATATTTGTGAAGAGTTGGATTATCTTTCAAAAGAATTAAGGTTTCTTAGTTGGCAAGAATATCCACTGCCATCTGTGCCATTACAATTTTGTGCTAAGAATCTCATTGAACTTAACATGCCTCGTAGTAATATCCAACAGCTTTGGGATGGAAATCAGGTATGTACGCATTGTTTTTTCAATGTATGTCATAATGTTTTTGTTGGTGTATGTGATTCTAAGACGTGGCATCAAACATTGACTAAAATAATTCACAATGTAAATGTTTAATTGTTTTTGTGTTGAGAATCTTATTGAACTTAATTTGCCAAAGAGTAATATCTATCAGCTTTGGGATGAAGATCAGGCACGTATAGTTTCTCATATGTCATAATTGTTTGTTCTTGTGATTCTAAGAAACATTGACTAAAATAATTCAAAATGAAAATGTTTACTCTATTACTATCTTTCAATTGATGGTTGAGTAGTAATTGTACAATTTGGGGGGAGTCGAATTGTTGTTGTAATGGGCATGAGAAAAATTCTTGATTAAATTGTACGCATGTGGAGTTATCTAATTTATTTAACACTACTGCTTTGTTTTTTTCAGCAATTTCCAAATCTAAAGAAAATATATCTATGGAATTCAAAAAATCTCATGGCACTCCCAGATTTGTCTCAAGCCCCGAAGATTGAGTGGATGAGTCTTGGTGGTTGTGTGAATTTAGATCAAATCCATTCTTCAACTGTCCTGGAAAAGGATGTCAATTTATTTATAAAAGATTGTGGGCCAATGCAGATAAATATTGGGGGCAGTGTGAAAAGGAGAAGTTCATCAAGGTTAGTGATTGTGTACAATTATTTGGATGTTTCCAATTTGACATTCAATAAAGTGACAATGAAGGTGTTGGTATGTGGCAAAATGATGTGTGGTGTTGGATTTAAGCATGTGAGAATGCCACTGGGAGAGACGGCAGAATTCATGAGAGTGGGAATACAAAGTTTGGCGACTTTACTTCCATTTGTGAGGGTAGTTGAATGGTTAGAGAGTCCAATTGAGTTTGGGCATGATTTCAAGCAACATCATACCTATCATGTTTGTCGTGCATACACTGGTCTTTCAAGCTGGAATGACTTCAGGCTTTCTGTAAAGGTGAGGGGTGATGGAGAAGAGAGGGGTGTGGAAGATGATGAAGAAGAGGATGAGGATGATACAAAAATGATTAGTGAGAGTGAAAGAGAAATAAGTAGTAAAGGTAATCAAGTAGCAGAGACAACATTATTATTAAAGGAAGATGAACAAGAAGGGGCCGATGAGGATTATAGTAAGATGGACAATGCATTATTAACAACACTACTTATTCCTAACAGCATCCCTCGCTGGTCATTGTTGGTTCGACTGACATTAAAAGAGAGTGATATTATTATTGGGAATAATAATACAGGTTGTAGCATCATCCCTCAAGCTTCAATAATCCTCAAATCACTCAATGAAGATTGCAGAAGGACGATTCAGCCTCTCTTGGCAGTACAACTCTCTTCCCCAGTATCCCCTTTACCTCGTCATTCTTTCACAGTCCGTTATAACTACTTGGAGAGTACGCCACACGATCCTTCTTTTCTTTATTTCAGCAGTACATACTGGTCAAGTAATTATTTTGATAGTCATGGCTTAGTTGTTCACTTTTTGAAGGACCATTGATGATATTAATTATCATTTAAATTTTTCAGGTCATAAAATTATTATTTGAATCAGCCTCAGTTATTTTCTTATTACATATTAATATTATGTTTTTATGAAATACCAATTTTTCTGTTTTTTTAATATGTAATTCATGTACAGAGGCCTCCTCACAACTTTAGAACATAAAAATTGTTAATCTTATCTTGGCTTCACAATAACTACACCTGTTGTGTGTGTTACTCTTCATGTGATTTGAGTATAATAACTAGCATGACAAACAATTTCCTTACTAAGCAATTTTATTATAAGAAAGTAGAATGATTACTTTTGAATTAACTCAACTTGTAAATGTTAAAATGTTATAATATTTAAAATTGTAAACTACGTTAAAATAAAATATATTTGTTTGATCGGCCGCCAGTCAATCATTCCAAGTTGATCAACGTGGTTAATTGGCACTGTGGTCATTTACACTTTCTTTCAAAAAAAAAATCTATTTATACTTGGTTTTCTCACTTGAGATCTAGTGGTAATTTTCCCTTCCCATTATGTGACATCAAAGATATATATATATATATATATATATTTTGAAGTGTGATTTTTCGAGCGCTTCCTCACAACTTTAGAAAATACTCTAGAAATTTTATGTTATTGTTTCTTTTCAATAATTAATAATTATTCAATCGTTCGTTACTTTATGCTCGTGTATTGCATAACTTATTTATAAATAGGTGGAGAAATAATTTTTTATTGCGAAGCAATTTCCTTGGGATTATTCACTATTTACCATAAATAGAGTATCCTCTAACTTGTACTTCAAAAATATGTACAGTCTACTTGCATAAAATAGATTTTACTAAATTAAATTATAATAGAACGTATTACCATAACTCATATTTTATTACAATAAATTGTTCATTTCATGAAACGTCATTATTTTTTTCACAGCAAAAACCACGTCTTTATTCATTAACTTTGTTTGGTTGAATGATAATGGGAGAGTGAAAAATTTAATAAGTTTGATTTTTTGTGAAAATGAAGTAAGGTTAAAAGATTTTAATTAATTTTTCTTATCTCTTACTTTTATAACTTCTCTCGGTTAATGGAGGCACAATAATACCTATCATTTTTTGACAATGACAAAGTAATATTTTCTTTTAAAAAAATTATTCTATATTTTATGCTCTTAATTTTTGGTTATTCGGTAAAATTTTCAGTTATATGTTAACTTGAAGTGCCTCAGTTTTATTTGTTTGCATGTTGAAATTTTTTTTCGATAGACTCAACTTTAAAAAAAAAATCCTTTCTTTAAATATGACTAAAATTGCTTGGGGCATGTATTTATGTTAGGTATGATTTATTAATCAGCTTTGAAATAGTTATTTTGGAAATGTGGTGCAAGTAGCACTAAGACTAGCAGTTAATTAACAAAAGTTCCTGTTCACATTGATTTTACTTACACGGTTGATCAATCTTTCCAAGTTCATGACACGGGTAATAACACCAGTCTTTTCACTAAATTATTGAATTTATCCTAGTTGCATATAGATTTAACCAAAAAAAAAAGTATAACATATATGCTTAGTCCTTTAAATCTGCGTCAAATTTTAGTTTAATCTTAAATTTAAGATGTTAAAATTAAGAAACTAAAAATACACTTTAAAAACCCTAAAAATTAAAATGAAATTTGATGTAAACTTAAAGTAACAAGCATGTAAAAAGGGGGAGATAATCACTTGCTATTAATGTATGCATCTTAAATAAGATTTATCTAAGTTACTGCATCATTCCACATAATGGAATTGCTATTCAGTATGAATGTAATGGATAACTACGCCTCAGTTGGATAGATTGCTTATGGAAATATATGCTGTCCACGAAAGATAAGTACATTAAGAATAGAGAAGATTTGAAACTAAAACCTTCTATAAACTACCAATCCTCACCACTACACTAAATTGTTGCCTTTCGAAGAGAAAAATAAAATTCCTCAATAAATAATATAATATTGGTTAAATGAGTACAAATATAATATGACAAGTTACTGCACAACACTTGATGTCATTATCTGTTTTCCAAGTGTATGATTATGCTATCCCAACAGATGATCTCTGTGACTTTAATCCAAACAAATCTTCAAAAAGTTTAGGAACCATAGGTGGAAGATTCATGGACTCAGGAGCCATGAAGTTTACAATATTTTCATGAACATTATACCCTCAATGCCACATCGCACAATATAAATCGCAAATTAGTCAAAAATCTCTTTTTCAGTTCTGGAGAATTTAGCAGTATGTATGTATATACACGTGACAAAAAGTAATGGTACAAAACAAGGAAATGCCATCTTCATCAACTAACCTTATCTTGCGACCTTTTTGAGGCCTGACGATCAACAATTTTCCTTTTCTTTGGTTGCATCTTCTTCAAGGCATAAAGTGCTTTCTCTGTATGATTCACAATAGCAGAAAATAAGAAAGTGGCTTCTGCTTGCATGGTATAAGGTTAACATTATGATTTCTAGGAAAGCAGCTCATGCTAATTCTAGGCTCAAAAAATTTGATCAAAACTATTTAGATGGGGGGAAAAAATCACTACTAATTCTACAATCTTTCTAGGAAACCTTTCATGCTAAATATCAAGTATCATTCGGTCATAATTGCCAAAATACATTATAAGTTAAACAAAAGAGGATGTCTTGACTAGTCTAATATTCCAATGACATCATCAGAAGTAAGAATATGAATACAATATATAAATAATGCCTGTTCAACCAAAACAACACAATTATTGCTTACCGGATAATGTAGGATCAACTGTCTCGAAAAACTCTTTTAGTAATTGCTGATAAAATTCAAAGTCATCTAGAAGTTCGAGATCACCATCAATATGAGTTTCCTAAACAAATTTGAATTCATAATTGTCATGCTGGAAATAAATATTGATCTACGTTGCCAAGCACAAGCAAACATAATAGATAAAAAGGATATTAAAATAATAATTGATAACAAAATGCCAAGCATTAAGAGTATGAAGACTTAAAATCCATGATTGAAACACTTGAATGGCTTCCTTTAAAAATATCACATAGTACATTTGTCTGCATGATTCAACATGGAGAAAAACACAAAGGTTCTGTTTTAACTCAATTAGCAATGAATTTGACTAACCTCTTCCGAAGACAATGCCAGTGACGGTGCATGCAGAAATGAGAGAAAAAGTTAGTGGTTATTAGACATATTCTTGATGTCAGTATACAGAAATTGAAAGGCACTCAAAAATTAGAAAAGAGCCAAAAAAGCATGAATGGGTTTAACTTTATGACTCTGAGAAAACTGTAAAATGAATCTTGTTTTAAAAACAAAAAGACAACACTGACTTACATTTCCAAATATACTAACAGTAGATGTTCTCAGCCTCATTTGCTTGATCATTCTACTGGGATCCCTCATATAAGTAGCAACTTGGTGGCTTATATCCTATGATGGACATGTTAAAAGTAAAATAGCCTGCCTATCACACAACAGAATCCTCAGTGAAGTTATAAAGCCAGACCTAATTAAAAGCCAATAATTTGCCTTTAAAGGCAGCAGCACCAGTTGTCACTTGCAGCATCCTCTGCCGTTTGTTGATCGACCTATCTCTGAAAGGTGCCAATCTACAAAATGCAATTATGAATAACATCAATTAGGTCATAGTGTCTATCTAATCAATTTTATGCACATGCATATAAATATAAGAAATCTAAAATGTCAAAAGGCACAGTTGGAACTCAAAATCTTAAGTTGTTAGGTGAAGACCAATAATAGCCTTTATTAATATAAGTGCAAAAACTGGAAAAAGAAAAAGGTCACATTATTTTCTTCTGAAATTTAATTTGAAGTAGATCACTCCATCAATCCAAAAGGTCTAGATAGTAGTGAAGATCCATGATTTAGGGGTGCTTACAAGTTGAGTTAGTTTTGTGTGCCATGTCCCCCCCGGGGATTTTCTGGGGGGTGGGTGCTTAGCACAACAAAAAGTAAAAAAAGAAAAAAAAATGCACACCAAATACATAACAAGGTAAGTTTCAAATATTACTGCCGCAGGTAGGGTTCAAGTGAAAAAACTTAGAAGCCTGAATGATGATGTGTTGTGAGGAAATGAACATCTAGCAAAATAAGAGTACACTAAGAAGATGATGATGAAAAATACCTCTTATGCATTTGAGAAATCTATGACCACTCTTCATCAAAATTGTCATCCAAATTCTTAAAAATGTCTAAATGTTCTGGTGATCTTTCTGAATCTTTTAGAAGATAAAACAAACTCATGTTAGTTCAGAACACCATTCAAGCATATATGCGACAGAATAGAAGTTATAGCACATCCCAAAAGAATAAAAATAAAAATCCTTTCAACAACATGCACATACAAGAGACAAGGCATCTATTTCCATTAGTGCAAAATATTGCCCTTTCGCTTTATTGACCAACAGAGAAGGATATGTTAATGTTGCAGTTAAATTACGAGGGAAAACAAAGGACAACAAAAAAGAAATCAATGACCATATGAGACTTGGGCAATAGATGGATTCCGGGCAAGCAGGGCCTAATATAAGGAGAAAATTATCAGTGCATAAGAAAATTAGAGAAGTAAAGACATAATATTATAGATAAATACAGTTTCTGTTGGCATGAAATGTAAGGGAACAGTTCTACATTTTCTTCTATATCTAGACCCCTTGTAGTTCCAATATAGAATCTAACGTCTCCTTGGAGGAGGTCATAAGATCTGAATATGCTACACTAACACCCTTATCAGAACCATACAATGAAGACCTGACTGGCTCCTGCAAAAAGTTCATCTCTTTGGCACAAAATTCTTTTGTGATAAATAAAAAGTCATAGTAATCTTTCAAGTGCAATAGGAAAATACTTGGGGTAACCTATTTGAACTTGAGTATGGCTTCTGAAGTAAGACTCTAAGCTCAAGGATCTTGTACTAGAGTGCCTTCAAGAAAAACAAACATAATATGATTACAAACTAAGCAAAGGAGGGAAAACGTCCATTGAACTATATACAAATTATGGTAACAACTATAACTGAAAGCACTTAGAAAAGAAATAATAATAAAAAATTCCATGTTACTATAATAAGGAAGAAATGGGTCGTTCAAAATAACAATTTAAAAAAAGGAAATGGATCCAGAAAAAGATTAAGTAGTTGGAAAATAATTAATCATTACTCAATAAAATAATTTATATCAATTTAAAAATCAAATATATGTACGTGTGTCAAGGTATGAGTTAGTTAACGTTATACCTTCTGGTTTTTCACAGCTTGACCTTTAAGGAGATCTTCATCTTTATGACGCTTCAAACTCTTTTAAGGTATCTCTAAAGGTAGAAAAAGAATTTTACATGCATAAGAATTTATACACTCTTAAAGATAAAAAACAGGAACAACAAAAAGAACCATCATGACCAGAGTCTAATATAGAGATTACTATTGCTTAGAAGGAATACTAATGCATCATTAGGTTACCCCCTAACAAAAATTTCTCACATGCAAAATCATCAATGTGGTTTGCTCTGTCTCACAATCGTAAATATGGGGAAAAAACACTTTTTGCCAAAAAGATACATTTTCAAATAACACCATAAAAACACCAAAGCAAGTGAGTTAAAGTTGGAGCATTGGAGTTCAGGAAAAAGGAGTAAAGGGATCGCTTACACATAATAATTGGAAGCCAGTTCCAAAGAATTTGTAGGGAAAGAGAAAAACAGGCACATTCTTTGGAAGAAAGAAGAAAATAGTGCTGCCAACATAGAAGAAATTTATGTTACTGTGCCACGTGCTATGGCACACTCTACAAATGTAGCTAACAGCCATGTCATAGACATGCATATATTGTTAAATCCAAAACAACCTTCATTTTCTTTTTGAAATGGCAATTCTTCACAAGGTCCAGCTGATTTCTGTGTGTGTAGTTTTTTTCTCTAGTTTTTTGGGCGTTACATGGCAATAGTAGTAGCTAGTTAGTTGTAACAGAAGAGTTATCACTCTATTAGTCTGTTAAACCAGAGCAAGCATGAGAGAATCAATATAAGTATTCCACATGTACTCGTTCTAAGGTGGGGAATAAGAAATTACTACATTCTATCTCTACTTTTTTCTCTTCGATACCATTGATGCAGGTAGAACAAGGAAAGTAATAGAGAAACTATATTTGAATTCCAAGACACCTCATGCATGCACTATTATCCTCTACGGATACTAATAACCTTCTCTAACTAACTAACAATTCTCTTAACTAACTAATTTTAATAATTACCATGTAACAAGGGGTGTAATATAAGATTAAAGTTTAAAGTTTAAACAAACAACAAAAGACCATCAAGACTAGTAAACAATACAGCACATAAAAATAACAACTACAAAGAAAAGTCTCCCACATATTAACTTCATTGAGAAACTTCAAATCTAGCAATATAAGTCATGTCACATCCATAAAGATGGAAATCTTACTGCTCTTGCTTATAGAGTTCCCTATACTCTTTCTCAAGCTGTTCCATCTCATCATTATTCCATTTATCTTCCTCTACTGTATCATCTTCTTCATCATAGGTTCCCTCCTCGTCATCTTCATCCTCCCCCTCATCATCATCATAATCCTCTGCATCAGACTCTACCTACATCAAAATATAATCCTCAATCACCCAAAAAGAAATCATAAATATTACATTGGAAGATGATGAAACTCCCAGCAAATACTTGCCTGTTCATTCTCAATATCACTGTAGTCATCCCAATCAATGTCATTGTTTTGCGATTCTCTAGATCTCTTGCCAGATAAACCCATCTTAAACCTAAATGGAAAAAATCTGACATCAACCAAACACATACATTAAAGAAAAAACTAGTAATTCAACCATGTCCTCGTTATAGAGACACTCACAAGTCCCAAAATTACACCAAGTACTAAATAATGCCCTTTCCAAAATTGTTATAGCTTTTTCACAAGTCCACAAAAAGGACAAAGCAATAACTAAAACTATTAAAGCCTTTCATGCTGGGTTCCTATCCTAACAACAAGTTTGCAATGGTATTTTACTTCAATACAGTCGTTCCAATTACAGCAAAATTGTAAGAACAATTTTTTTCCATAAACATAATCAATATATAGTTTCCCTATACTTGCTTCCGGGCTTATTCTCAAGTAGTAGCGGTTAACTCCATAAAAGAGCTTACATATGAATATTATACCTACTAGTATGGATACAAACCTATTTGAAAGACCGAAAGAAAGCTGGGGAGTTAGCTTAAGAAGTGAGGCTATGGGTGACTGCCCCATGACAAAGAAGCAATTTCCCGGCCAGTAGTAGAGAGAGGGAGGCATCGTGCGTGACTGTGTGAGTGAGTGAGTATGAAGTCCTTAGGCAGAGGGGAAGCGAGGATGAGAGATCAATAAGTGACTGGTAGAGGACGAGAGTTGAGAGCGAGAGGCATCGTCGCCACCTAAGGGCCTGTTTGATTTGAGGGGAGGGTAGGGAAGGGAGGGGAGGGTGGGTTTTATCCTCACCTTATTTGGTTTGATTAAAAAGAAAGGGAGAAGAGGATATTTAATGATCCCTTGTTTGGTTCAAGGAGGGGAAGGGAGGGATAGTAATAATCAATTTACCATTTTACCCTTACATATTAGTTTATATTTTTTATTGATATATTATATAAATTAATTTACATCTCAATTTAAATTATATAATTTAATGAAAATTCAGTCTTATCATGTTAATATGTGCATTAAAAATTGGTACAGTAATTTTTTATCCTAATTAATATAATAATATATTTAAAATAATCAAATTAACAAATTTTATATGCTCTAAGAAAAATGAAATTTTATTCTCTTTAGGCTATCCTTTTTTTCAGCTTTAAAATATATTTAATAAATAATAATTTATTAAAAAACAATTAATTTTATAATATTATAATTTTTTATTTAAATAATTTTTTATAATATATTTTTTAATTATAATAATTCTGAAGATACTATAACATTAGGTTAGCAATGCCTGAGATATCGTATTATATAGACACATGTATTGTGCACTTGCTAACTATTTTTGTCTTATCTTTTTATCATCACGTGAATTAAGAAACAACCATACCCCCTGCTGGGAAGGTAAAGCCAAAGAGCAAGTATTAGTTTGAGGTTGAAGCAAGAAATTACAGTCACATGGATGCAACCATTGCTTTAATGCTCATAGAAGCTGTATTGATTTTGCTGGCTATAGTAATTTATAAAGCTGTCAGATTAATCTCTCCACTTCATACTATCCGTCCTATTTCTATTCATGAGAGGTAACATCTTCTATAGCAATTCCTCTTTGTTCCGTTTGCTGATAGCCCAATATTAATTTATGATTTCTTTCCATCTGTAGTTCTAAAGATGATGTTGATTCGATTCCCATGGTTTGCTCTCCTTCTAATATCATTGTTGCTCCTCCTACAACCAATTATGACGTCTTTCTTAGCTTTAGAGGGAAAGACACTCATGACAGTTTCTCAAGTTATCTCTATGAAGCACTTTGCGATGCAAACCTTCAAACTTTTATGGATCACAAGCTCCACAAAGGAGACCATATCTCACCCGTTCTTTTGAAAACAATAGAGGAATCAGAGATATCTTTGATTATTTTCTCCAAAGATTATGCATCTTCAACATGTTGTATGGACGAGCTTGTTCATATTATGAGCTGTAGGGATAAATACCAAAGAGTTATCATCCCTATTTTCTATGACATAGATCCATCAAATGTTCGCAAACAAAATGGAAGTTTTGGAGATGGATTTGCTAAGATTAAGCAGAGATTTAGCCACAACCAAGAAAAAGTGCAAAATTGGACAAATGCTTTGATCCAATCAACAAATCTCTCTGGGTGGGATTCAAAGAATATCAGGTAGTTTCTACTCATTCTGCACTTATACCTTCTTTCTTGGGGCATTAAAGATGATTGTTCTTTTAATTTATGTATGTGCTAAGCCTGAATCCAAACTTATTAAGAAGATTGTCAAAGATATTTTGAGCAAATTGAATGGCAAGTCGTCCTTTCATTTTGAAGGATTAGTTGGGATTGATCATCATATTCAGAAGATTGAAGAGCTATTGGGTAAAGCTCGCATTGTGGGAATATGGGGTATGGGTGGTATAGGTAAGAGTACTCTTGCTAGAGTTGTATTCCACGAGTTGAAAGCACAGTTTGAAGCTTTCTCCTTTGTGGAAGATGTAAGGGAACAACTAGCAATAATTGGGTTTGACAGGTTACAAAAAGAATGTCTCAAAGAATTAATAAAAGATAAGGACATTAATGTCTTTGATATAGAATCCTCTTTTGTGAGAAGTAGGCTTCAACGCAGAAAAGTTCTTCTGATACTTGATGATGTGGACAATTCACTACCGGTTGAAGATTTAACTGAAATGTATCGTTGGTTTGGAGAAGGAAGTTGAATTATTATCACATCAAGGGACATGCAAGTACTTCATAATGCTTTTGCATTTTCAACATACTCTATTTCAAGATTAAATTTACATGATGCCTTTCATCTCTTTAGTTTGAAAGCATTCAAGCAAAATGAGCCACCTAAAAGTTATATGGAATTATCAGAATCAGTAGTGGATTATTGTCAAGGAAATCCATTGGCCCTTGTAATGTTGGGTTCTTTTCTTCAAGGTAGAGGAAAAGAGAAGTGGGAAAGTTTTTTGGAAAAAACAAAATAAGCACCACCCAAGTACATTATTGATGTTCTGAAATTGAGTTTTGATAGACTTGATGAGCGCCAAAAGAATATGTTTCTTGACATAGCATTTTTCATCAAGGAAAGAGTTGAAGTTTCTTTGACCCTAATAAGACAATTATATGGCTCTTCTGTAGATATTGACATAAATGTTCTTAAAGAGAGAGCCCTCACTTCATTGGATCATAACGGCTATATTGAGATGCATGATCGTGTGAGGGACATGGGTGTTGAAATTGCTAGAGAACAGTCATTCTCCAATCCTAAAGGCCCTGTTCGACTGCAAAGTTATAAGGACATTTATGATTTTTTCATTAGTAACAAGGTACTAATTTAATCTATCTATTCTTTTTTTGTAATCTCATTTTCCATGATATTTTGGTAAATTTTTATGTTATAATAGTTGTTCTTTTTTTCCCCTTGACGTGCTTACTAGGTGACTAAGTCAATCCAATGCTTGTCATTGGACATGAGTAAGATAAAAAGGATTCCATTGACAGCTAATGACCTTCGAAAGATGCATAATTTAATATTTCTAAAAATTTATTGGTCTGATTGGAGAGAGCCTTCAAAGTTGATTATTGGTAAGGATATGAGTTATCTTCCAGATGAAATAATTCAGGGTTGTTAGTTGGAAGAATATCCTTTACCATCTGTGCCGTTAAGCTTCTATGAGGGGAATCCTGCTAAGCTTCAAATTCCTAATGGTCATATCAGGCAACTTGGGAAAGGCCATCAAGTATGTATCATTTTCTTTATCTAATTCTAAACACCTCTTTGAACTTTTGTTTTAGATATCTCAGCCATCAAACATTGACCAAATGAACGGTTGATATTTGAGTGCACCCCCTCAATTTGGAGAAATTACATGTTAGCTGTGAGAATTTCAGCATATTGCCCTCGTTAGCCCTAAGATTGCGCAACCCCTATACATATACATATCCGGACCCAAGTTTACCAATCACCAATTTTTCCAGCTTTATAGACCTTCTTTTTTTTTTCCTTTCCTTAAATCCAGTGCTCTTCTGAATGCATTGACTTATTTCCTTTAAAGTCTCCTGTTTTTAATTGTCATGAGTGAAATTCATGGTTAAATTGTGTAATTATCTAACGTAACATATTGCTTATTTTTTCAGCATTTTCCAAATTTAAAGAAGATCGACATAAGCCGCTCAAAATATCTCACGGTACTCTTAGATCTGTCTAAGACCCCGAATCTTGAATGCTTAAAAGCTGATGGCTGTGTAAGTTTGGATCAAATCCATTCTTCAAACTGTCCTAGTCAAGCTTACCGATTTATGTCTTGAGATATGATGGGCCAGAGCGAATAAACATTGGTGGTATTGTTAAAGGGAGAAAGAAGTTGATTAGGGTTAGTGAATGTGCGTGATTATTTGGATCTTCACAAGTTGTCATTCAATAAAGTGACACAATGAAGATATTTGTGTCAGGAGGGATCATCTCTAGCGTTTGATTTGAACGAGTGTTAGAAAGTGGCATGGTGGTACCATTAAGAAGAGAAGTGGGTAATGATAATGAGGAGAGGATGAGATTGGAAGTTGAAGACGACGAGTTAATGGCACAAGCGGAGTGTTGTACAGGTAACACTAATGCTAGTGTATTAGCACTTGTTCCATTATTGGAAACGCAAGAGGTTACATTATTCTACAAGTTTCAATTTTGAAAAGCAAAAAGATTCAACCTCTCGTAGATCTAAAACTGCGTTTGGACATTACAGAGTCCCATATGAGTAATTATTGTGGTTGCTTCTCTTACTCTGCTTCTCATAGATCAACCTCAAACCTCCCAGGCTCCCCTGCTTTATTGATGACCCTCTCTCTCGCCCTTATACTCCGATTGTAGCAATGAAAGTACTCTTCTAGTCCTGAATGTTGAGACTTAATTAATTAATTTGAGTAGATTAAGGATATTAGTTAAATTAGTTAATATGATATGTTTTTTCTAAAATACCTTAAGTATCATTCTTAATTTTTTTCCCTTTGCGCTCACCATATTGGTTAACAAGGGTCCTAATTTTAAGTTTTTTTAAATATAACTTTTTAGGTATAATCAATGTATCTTTTTTTAAAATTGTTTAATAAAAGTCTAAATTACATGTTGTAATTTTAATATTTAAAGAAACGTTGTCCGTTGCATTTAATTGAAAGTAGGAATAAAGCAAAATAATTTTTACATATCACATATTTTTTACTGGTTTTTTAGTCTATATGTTTTTTTTTTAAATTAAGACTAGGGGACGGAGAGAATATCAAATATAAAACACTGCTAGTTGCTTTTTCACATTTATTTCAATAAATAAGAGGTGAAAATGAAAAAAATGAATCAAAATTAGTGTACAAAGAATTTTCATTAAGTGCTATATGCATACGCATGTGTGAGCATAACTTACCATTATTTGAAGCACAACGGGAAAATAAAAAACAAATAATTTTTTGCTTTTATGATTATATTCTAAATATCTGCGCATGCATGTAGGTATACGCATCAGTGTCTCTGTGTATATATGATTGTTGAGAAATTCATATATTACGGGAAAAACATGAATTGTAAGGAATTTTGAATAAAATGGATATAGCGGTGTTAATTTGGATAAAAGTTGATATATTTAATTGTTCTATGGTATTTATGGTCTTTTTTCAGGTAACGATATTTGTGTTTCCCTTGATTTGATATTATTACCAGGGGATTGAGGCAATTCGATGCATGTCATTGGATGCAAGCAAGATAAAAAGCATCGCATTGAGGACTAGTCATTTTCAAAGGATGTATGATTTAATATTCCTTGATGTTTACAAGTCTGATCAAAGAAAGCCTTCAAAGTTGAATATTTGTGAAGAGTTGGTTTATCTTTCAGAAGAATTAAGGTTTCTTTATTGGGAAGAATATCCATTGCCATCTGTGCCATTACAATTTTATGCTGAGAATCTCATTGAACTTGATTTGAGACGGAGTAATATCCAACAGCTTTGTGATGGCAATCAGGTACATACGCATTGTTTTTTCAAATGTATGTCATAATGTTTTTGTTGGTGTATGTGATTCTAAGACGTGGCATCAAACATTTACCAAAAGAATTGACAATGCAAACATTTAATTGTTTTTGTGTTGAGAATCTTATTGAACTTAATTTGCCCAAGAGTAATATTCATTAGCTTTAGGATGGAGATCAGGCACATATAGTTTCTGATATGTCATAATTGTTTGTTCTTGTGATTATAAGAAACATTGGCTAAAATAATTCACAATGCAAATGTTTGCTCTGTTACTATCTTTAAACTGATAGTTGAGTAGTAATTGTACCATTTGCGGGGGGGTCCAACTATTCTTGTAATGGGCATTAGAAAAATTGTTGAGTAAATTGTACGTACGTGTACTTATGTAATTTATTTAACAATATTGCTTTGTTTTTCTTTTTTTCAGCAATTTCCAAATCTAAGGAAAATAAATCTAATAGGTTCAAAAAATCTCAGGGCACTCCCAGATTTGTCTCAAGCCCCTAATGTTAAATAATGGCATCTTAATTGTTGTATGAATTTAGATCAAATCCATTCTTCAACTGTCCTGGAAAAGGATGTCAATTTATTTATACAAGATTGTGGGCCAATGCAGATAAATAGTGGGGGCAATATGAACGGGAGAAGTTCATCAGGGTTAGTGATTGTGTACAATTATTTGGATGTTCCCAATTTGACATTCAATAAAGTGACAATGAAGGTGTTAGTATGTGGCAAGATGATGTGTGGTGTTGGATTTAAGCATGTGAGAATGCCATTGGGAGAGACGGCGGAATTCATGAGAATAGGAATACAAAGTTTGGCGACTTTACTTCTATTTGTGAGGGTAGTTGAATGGTTAGAGAGTCCAATTGAGTTTGGGCATGATTTCAAGCAACATCATACCTATCATGTTTGTCATGCATACATTGGTCCTTTAAGCTGGAATGACTTCAGGCTTTATGTAAAGGTGAGGGGTGATGGAGAAGAAAGGGGTGTGGAAGATGATGAAGAAAAGGATGAGGATGATACAGAAATTATTAGTGAGAATGAAAGAGAAATAAGTAGTAAAGGTGATCAAGTAGCAGAGACAACATTATTATTAATGGAAGATGAACAAGAAGGGGCCGATGAGGATGATAGTAAGAGGGACGATACATTATTAACAACACTACTTATTCCTAACAGCATCCCTCACTGCTTATTGTTGGTTCGACTGACATTAAAAGAGAGTGATATTATTATTGGGAATAATAATATAGGTTGTAGCATCATCGCTCAAGCTTCAATAATCCTCAAATCACTCAATGAAGATTGCAGAAGGAGGATTCAGCCTCTCTTAGCTGTACAACTCTCTTCCCCAACATTCTCCCCGTTACCTCATCATTATTTTGGAGTCCTTTATAACTACTCGAAGAGGACGCCTCACGGTCTTCGTTTTTCTTATTTCAGCAGAGCATACCAGTCAAATGATCATGAATTGGTTGTTTACTTTACGAGGAAACCCTTTTGATATTAATTATCATTTAAATTTCTCAGGCCATATAATTATTATTTGAATCAGTCTCATTTATTTTTTTTTATTGCATATTAATATTATGTTTTAATGAAATATTAATTTTTTCGTTTTTTTCTATATGTAATTCACGGAGGGCCTCCTCACCACTTAAAAATTGTTAATCTTATCTTGGTTTGACAATAACCACATCTGTTGTGTGTGTTATTCTCCATGTGATGTGAGTATAATAACTTGCTCGACAAACAATTTTCTTACTAAGCAATTTTATTATAGGAAAGTAGAATGATTACTTCTAAATTAACTCAACTTGTAAATGTTCAGATGCTATGATATTTAAATTGTAAAGTACATTAAAATAAAATATATTTGTTATCACCAAAAATACATATATTTGTTTGACCGGCCACTGATCAATGTCGTCAATGATCGAGTCATGATTGATCAATCATTCCAAGCTTATCAACGTCGTTAAAAGGCACTGTGGCCATTTGCACCTTTTTTTTTAAAAAAAATCTATTTATACTTGGTTTTTTCACCTGAGATGTGATGGGAAATTTCCCTTCACATTATGTGACATCAAAGATATATATTTTTTTAAAATGTGATTCATGGAGTGCTTCCTCACAACTTTGGAAAATACAAATTATTAATCGTAAAGTTGCTTTGTTCTTCTTCTTTTTTTTGTTGCTTTTCGCGTGTGTATTTTGTATAACTTATTTATAAATAAATGGAGAAATAATTTTTCACTATGAAACAATTTTCTTGGGATTATTCATTATTTACCATATATAGAGTATC